AACCATAAACACTCGTCTGTTGTCTAAGACTGAAATTAGTAATTTCAGTCTTGGCCAGCCAAAGAGGGTCTGCACATGAATATATCTGCAATTTTGTTGTTGTTGTTGCATGGTCTCCCATTTTGGCCACCTTCTTCCTTTGACAGTCTGTTGTGTCTATATGGACTTTGGATTAACATTTGCAGAATTATTAGCTTAGACAATTAAACTTCAAATAACCCCAGTTGTTAAAGAATTTTCACTTTTTTATTTTTTGGGTATTGGTAAGCCCTATAGCTAGCTGTGGTTACAATAGAAGCGCAGTAATTAGTATTGTTTTAATACTAATCTTTCCATGAATTTTTGTGAAATGCTCTATAGAAATTCGTGCATCATTTATAATGAATTTAATTAAAAACCTCCCTGAAACATTATTCTCGCTCATTCTTTAACACTTTCGCGCTTTCGAGTAGAGATAACTCGTCACTGGTTTTTCTTACGATTCCGCATAACTGCCTACTTTTCTCGTCAATCGAAAAAATATTTCTATAAATTCCATTTTTTAACCGAAATGGATGGATACTCTCAGATTGTTCTCCATGAAATTCCCGTTCTCCCTCACCGAACACATGGCATCTCGGCCTACCCAGTCACGTGGTCGGCCCATTGTTTTGTTGACACGCCAAGTGCCCACACTGTGCTCCCCTCTTGCGGCAAACGTGACCCGTTTTACGCATTTATTTCCGTTCCGTTTCCGTTCTCGTGTACCTAAAACCCATTCAATACCTTCAACATGGATGCTGCACCAGGAACAAGCAGTGGAACGCAAAACAAAGGTAGGAAATCTAGGAAAGCAGAAGAGATCGCCAGGATTTTCGATCTGTATCGTGGGGTCAATCTCACTCCATCCAAGATTCCCGACGTTGTTGAAGCCTTTTCAGGGTCTTCTGATGATGATTTGGAGGCTGACGAACCGGAAAATGATGTTCTTTATGAGGTTTCCTCAAGTGATGAAGATATTTCGAGTGAGAGTGAGGATGAGTGATGAAGAAGCCCCGCCACGCGGTGACCGCACGTGTCCGGTACCAAAGAGGGCTAGGCTGGGTGATGAGTGGAATCGTAGCAATACTCCTCCCATCGTTGATAACTTTACTGCAACCCCTGGCCTAACAATTCCACTACCTGCTACTCCATTGCAGTTTTTACAATTATTTTTCACTAGAGCAGTGGTTGAATACTTAGAGTATGAAACAAATTTGCATGCCACACACGTCATACATCTCATGGCTGAGTCAGCAAGAAAAACGTGGAAACCAGTGTCGGTGAAAGAAATGGCCCGATATTTGGCCCTGTGCATACTGATGGGCATAGTGAAGATGCCTACAATGAGGATGTACTGGCAGACGAATCAGATGTGGCATTGTCGATTCTTCAACTTGTTTATGTCTGCTCGGTTCCAACACATTTCTAAGTTCTTCCACATGTTTACACATGTGGCACACTTAGACTACAACGTGGCGCCCCCAAGGATCTGCAACAAGTTGTAAAGGGTAAAATGGCAACCGACACGACCGTATACATGCGTAAGGATAACACCTTTGTTATAGTTTGGAAGGACAAGCGCCCCGTCTCTGTCATCACCAATATCCACAATGCCGACACTACTCAAGCACAGCGCAGGAAACGCGTTCGTAAAGGTGACGGGAGAACTGGAGTAGAAATTGTGAAAATGAACAAACCCAAGGCCATAGTGGATTACAATAAGTTCATGAAAGGTGTTGATCATTTTGATCAAATGGTCAAATATTATGAGTTTGCAAGAAAAACCCACAAATGGACCAAGAAGATCACTTTCTATTTTCTGCAAATGGCCATGCACAATGCATACGCATTGTATAACCACTACTCAACAGATACAAAAAAACTAACACTATTAGAGTTTCACGCAGTAGGAATAAAAGCCTTATTGGCGTGGAACAGCAAGGAATGGCCAACAACAAGAAGTATACCACATGTTCCCAACATAGATGCCAGCGCAGCTCCTCCTGCTGACGCGGCAGTTTTCAACACCCGGGCCATCTGGTGCTAGGCGTCCTCTGTTCACCTCAACACCTAAAGCCCACTCATCAACCACAAATTCTGAAATGGACATTGAGGACATAGAACCACTTGATGTTTCTGATTTCATAGAAGATTCTACTACAAGTTTGGTGGTTCCTGTAGAAGACAATATTCTTCCAGTGAATCCAAAAAATACAAGAATTATAGATTCAGAACAACGTCTCAACTACAAGTTGACGCATGAACTCGTGCACTTGGCTAAAAAAAAAAGATGCCGTGTTTGTTACAAGTCTGGCAAAAGGAGGGACGTGATATATGGATGTAAAACTTGTGATGTGGCACTGTGCGCTGCGCCTTGCTACACAAGGTACCACCGAAGAAAGATATTTTGGGTGGAGAAAAAATAACCACCGGCAACAGCTTCACTCCACCTAAGAAACATCAGATGAGCAACTTCAGGATCAGAAGCCTGAAGATGGTGGAGTGAAGAAAAAATGCTCAACTGTTGATCTTCAATCAACATAGACAGGGTAAGTACACCTATTTGGAATTTTTTATCATCTATAAGAAGTTGTATTATATACGTTTGTAGAGAATTTATTTGCGAATTTTTTGGTACCAGAATGAATATTATATCACAAACTTCTATGAGTAAAAAAAAAAACACAAAGTATGTTTGGGGGTGTGGAGGGTGTGGCTCTGGGTGTGGCGGTCGTGTGGCAGTGGGTTCCCTTTAGCCGTTGATATATCCAACACGTGGGAAATATTTGTATGTGTTATGTATATGTCTGTGTAGGGAATTTTACTGCGATCACTGTCATACAAATTATAAAATGTTTCAACAAGTATAAACATGAGAAACATCAAACGAACGAAAACAATGCGTTCGTTTTTCTGCCGTGAAAGCATACTGAGCGACGTGGTTCTATATTTGGCGCTTCTCTTACACATGCTTTGTACAAATGTTATACATTTCATCTTATAGAAAATTTTATTGCGAACACATTGGTATAAAAAAGAATACGTACATAGAAAAGTAGGGTCAGGAAACGTATAAATGTATAAACTTTCCAAGCATGATTTCCCCCCTGTGTTTTCGCCAGTGCGCTCGCGGCTAACTACTCTCCACTTCCCACACTCTTGCGGGTGGGCAATTACCTATATTAAACATTCATATGCATATGTCCGTGTAGAGAATTTTATTGTGATTCCAATGATACCAAAATTAGCGATGTAGGACAACTGTAGGCTTCGCAACCATTAAGAGAGTGGAAACATTTTGTTGCTGTTTGGCGCTCTCGGCGAGTGATCTGCATAGTTTTTTATTTGGTGTTGATACTCCTTATGCTTGGGCGGCATTTTATAGGTATGCTCTTATAGACAATTTCATTGCGAACACAGTGATACCAAATTTAAATACGTGCGCCTTCAATTATTGTCAGGACAGTCAAAAGAGTGTACACTTTTTCTTAAAACTGTAGATTTTTCAATATTATGTACATTGTTCAAGGTAATGGCATATCACTTGTTAACAATTTTATAATTAATAATTTGTTGACACCAGCAGGCAAGAAATATACTCCAACACTGAGCAGTGAAGTGGCCGTGACGGGAGAAGTTAAAACCCACCAGCTGCTCGTGTTGATTCTAAGACTTCGTCAAATCTGCTGCCATCCATCACTTATAAAACAGGTGAGCTTCATGCACTCGACCGCTATGACTAAATTGCAGAATCATTAGAAGAAAAATATCATGTGCTGTGCATGGACTTTGCAAAGGTGCTTGTTAAGGGTTCCCTTAAAGTGATAGCCCATATGATATCAGTAGGCATAACAGGTAAAGTTGGGTGATGGATATTCAATTTCCTGTCACAAAATGTAGAGAGTAACAAACAAAATTAGGTGCAAGCACAGTGAAAAGCTTTGTACCGTATGGGGCAGTCTTTGCCCCACTGGTTTCTCTTCTTAGCCCACATGAGATACGTTATGTTACAGCTTCATGTCATATTTTGCAGATGATACATTAACACACAAAATTCTGATGTGGAAGACAGTGAAAAACTATAAGCCTATATAATGAAGTTTGTTTAAAAATAACAGTAGGTATATTGTTAAAGTGGCAGGCTAGAGCAGACACTGGGTCTGTGTGGCCAGCAGTGTGGGGACAGTGACCCGATGTAATCGGTGATGACAGAGGGGCGAGGTGTTGACAACGATGTTGATGAAGGGGAGTCAATTGAGTGAATTGTGACCCATTGTCAACCTTGCTTATAGATGTCTAGGGCTCGTACATTGTGATAGAGGATGTACCAGTACTGTCCATGTATAGTACTAGGGTAGTGTGGACCTGAGAAAATACTTGTAATTATCCTAGTGCAATTACAGGATGAGCTATCCTGTGTGGCATGATAGTCCCTACAACCTTCTCTATGCGCAAACTGTCCTTGGGCTATATTTGTAGAAGGCACAAAGATATCACAATAACGTGAAGTATCGATGAGAAAATCGGTAGGAGCCATGAGGAGGATTGGAACGTGTGCTCTAGGGGGTACTCCCAAGCATACACCTTAAACCACTACACCATGACATGGTAAAAGCAATACCACCTAGTATTCAACTTGTAGCCAACCTCCAAATACTCGTTAATTTTAATGTATTGCGTGCTCAAAATTGGCATTTTCTCAAATATAAATTAATATAAGTATATTAGAATGTTGTATAATTAGGCCTTGGTTAGGTTAAATGTTTTTCTGTTGGCAATTATTTGTTTTTTGTACTTTGTTGGTGAAGCATTTACGGAGGAGTTTTTCGAACGGAGGACGTCATCGACTGTTAGAAAAAAGTTTGAATTTCATTGGCCAAGAGTTGGATGAAGTGTTATTTATTTGAAAATGGGGTTTAGCAGCTGGATTAACGAGCATTTGGCTCTTGTTAATGAGGACGGGCTGCAATGAGTCACTGTCTGACCACTGTTTATATTGCTTATTGAAGAGACCGACTTGTGTGGCATGTTTTCATCAAGTCTTGACAACCATCATATCAATTTACCTTCAATTTTGTTAAAGGTTCCATAATTGAAGAAGGTGCTCTGGTCATTGTAGCAGTGCCACTGGTACCTGCTCAACTGGGACCCTGCACTCATCTATGATACTGTACTTTGATGCTTTCCTGAGTATGTGACACTTCCTGGTAGTGTTTCACACTGGGGTAATTTGCAGGTAACTATCTCTCGAGATTGTCTAGAACACTGAAGATACTGTACGATTTACTCTCCAAGCTGGGAGTGATAATGCTTTCTTGTTGATACAGTGTGTGTGCTCTTTTATTGAGAAGGTTGACTGCCTCCTACACATTAATAGTCACATTGAATGTTGTTTTTAAGCATTTTAGTTTTATCAGTACTGGGTACTAACATTATTATTTCGTATTAGTTTTCATCTTGAGTTTTCATGATTTCGGGGCTTTAGTGTCCCCGCGGCCCGGTTCGACCAGGCCTCCACCCCCAGGAAGCAGCCCGTGACAGCTGACTAACACCCAGGTACCTATATTACTGCTAGGTAACAGGGGCATAGGGTGAAAGAAACTCTGCCCATTGTTTCTCGCCGGCGTTGGGATCGAACCCAGGACCACAGGATCACAAATCCAGCGTGCTGTCCGCTCGGCCGAGGCTATCATACAGTATTTTATACCATTTTATTGAATTGGTATCACTTAGGTATTACAGTTCCATAGATTGCTCTAGGCAACCTACTCGACCACTTGGACTGGATGGTAGAGCGACGGTCTCGCTTCCTGCAGGTTGGCGTTCAATTCCCAACCGTCAAAGTAGTTGCGCATCATCCCCCCCCCCCTTCCTATCCCAAATTCTTATCCTGATCCCTTCCAAGTGCTATATACAGTAGTAGTAATGGCTTGGCACTTTCCCCCTGATAATTCTATTCCCTCTAGGCTTTTGATTCCCCCTCATCCCACATCCTCTCTCCCTCCCTCCCTCTGCCCTTCCTCCTCCATCCTTCCTCTGCCCTCTGCCCTCCCTCATCTTCCCTCCCTCTTCTGTCCTCCCTCTTTAAGCATCAACATCCTCCATATTTTTAAGCAATTAAATTGTAATTCTATTAAGTATTGAACTTTTATTTTAAGCTTCATAAATATTTTTAAATTGCAGATATTAGAACCTGAATCCAAAGATATTGATGGAATAGATGTCAACAGTGAAGATGGGTGTGATTTAGACTTGGTGGATCAGATGGCCAATATGAGTCTGCAGAGCGCAAGCCACATGGATAATAGAGCGGAGGAGGATGCCCTTACCATGGATAACCCTGTCTTTCAGCAAACAAAAGTTAGCTCAAAGGTGAGAGTAGAATGATTACCATGGTTGGTGTAACATGGGGAATTTCATTATTTACAAATAATAGCATAGTAATGCTTGTAGTCAGGTGTTGATACTTTTCCTTCTCCAAGGTTGTGTGTTGCCGAGTCAACAACTCGTGCACTATGCTTGCATCAGATTTTGTTTCGTCATCAAATTTTAATACCAAGAATTTTCCTTCCTTAACCCTTGATTAGGGTTAACATCATACACTTATTTGGGGTAATGCAGCTGTATGTATATTTGTCATTAACCAATTTTAATACAAATGTAAATACTGTATGGTTATAATACATTAATATGGATGTAATGGTTAACCTAAGTACATGAACATATAATACATTGTAGGCCTCTGTATACAATACATGATCACTGTTTTTGTCAGTTGTGTAACGAGTCATTTAACACAATAGATTAAAGTGAAACGGTGAACAAATAAACCATCTTACTTGAACATTGCTGCCTTTGCCCCTCCATGTTGAGTCAGGTCATTGTAGCACCACGAGGCCGTCCACCCACTGACACTCACACACGGCTTCATCTTGATGTGCACAAAACTAAAAATGATTGATATTTATATTTTTCCCTCTTCCTTACTTTTTGTACGCAAATGTAGCATTTTATATGAGTGAACCAGGGAACAAGTTGTTGTTGTTTAATGGTGAATGTTTAAAATGTATGAATATGAAAACTCACTCTGGCCATTTTATATATAAAGTTCCATATAAAGTATATGGCATATAAAGCAGTTTGTTGTTGCTGTTGGAAGCTGTGTGTGTTTTTTAATCAGTTTTAAAATGGAAGAGAGTGAATGGATGGGTGTCATTTTGATTATTTTTTGGTGCTACTTGACTGTTTTCCTCGGGTTAACACTTTCGCTCACCCCGCGCGCCACCCCTCGACAGGGCGATATGGGCCCCAGCGTGTCACGGAAGCGCGCGTTAATTCCGAAAAGTGTATACTCTCTTCAACTTTGTCACCTCAATTCTCCTTCTACGAGAATAAATTTGGTATCATTGTGTTCGCAATAAAATTCTCTACAGCACTAAATGCATATAAACTCCAAAAGCCCGGCTAATTACCCGCAGCAAACAGAGAAAGTGCGAAGGAGTTACCCGGGAGCGCGCAAACGGGATAAAATGTTTTCACTATTTTCACTCTGGTCACCTCAATTTTTGTCCTAGGTCTTTCATTTTGGTCTCAATGGGTTCGTAATAAAATTCTCTAGAGGAACATTAGCATATAAAAAAAAACACCTGGTCACGCTCCAACCGCCGACGAGTTGAAGACGGGCCACGCGTTAGCCGTGAGTGAGCGCTCAGAGGCCTTCCTACTACACTCCCAATTCCCACCCTTTTCAAGCCTTTCTTTTGCAATTTTCTTCCTGGAAGGGCCTCGTTCATGATTACTATCCATCGTGGAGTAAGCGTAGATAGTTTCTAAAGCCGCAGTAAGAAATATAGCCACGGAAAATAGCTGAAATGTTCACACGTTTGAGATGCGAGGGGAGACGACATTGGTCACAACAGTGGAGCAAAGACAATGGGCCCACGGCGTGTGCCAAGCCGCCTGAGGGCCACGAGGCTCAACAAAGGAAATGGGAAGACATCGGCGCACATTTTAAAACCAGTCCCCAAAACATCGGATACAAACCTGATTTTTGGCGAATTTTTAAAGTGGATGACGGTTAATAAATCCCCACCACATGATAAAAGGGAAATAGTTATCGAATTGTTATTTACCATTACAGTATTTAACATGAACAGATTCTTTACTGATTAAAATTTCAGGTGGCAATTTTTTTTCCCACTTGAAATCATTTGCAGGGCTGATGTTATAATTTTATGAATGTGTATTATATAGCTGCAGATAATTATATATTATTTCTGTTCTTCAATCAGATTATGCAACTCATTGAGGAACTTGAGAAAATCCGTTCTCTGGAGACGGTGGAAAAGTCCGTCATAGTGTCCCAGTGGACATCAATGTTAGACATTGTACGTGATCATCTAGAGAATGTTGGTATCCAGTGCTGCACTATATCTGGGAAAGTTCTTGTTAAAAATCGTGGTGACATTGTTGAAGATTTCAACTGTAATCCAGAAGGGGCACAGGTATGTTATACATGTATGTAATGAAAACCAGTAGTTAATATAGTGAAAACCCGTAGTTTATATAGTGAAAGCCGGTAGTTTATATAGTGAAAACCAGTAGTTTATATAGTGAAAACCTGTAGTTTATATAGTGAAAACCATGCAGTTTCTATGTGCTGCATTGTTGCCTCTCTCTACTTTCCATGTACAGTTGCATAATTACCTCTTGACTTTCCATGTATTTGATAAGACTAATTATTTCCATTTTATTTTGTAACATGTAACATGTATTTTGTAGCTGGATCAACCGGGTCATAGCAGATTTGTGAGCCTGCGGGCCACTCCAAACAATGGCTTTTTCCACCATGTTATCCACCATGTTGGCTTGGGGGAGTAGAACAAACTCCCAGAACCCACCCCAAGTATACTCCAGGTGTAGTATGCTGTTATTACTTGTGTATATAGTGGTCCCTTACTCAGACTATTATAAATATAAAATAGTTTGAGTAAGGTGCTACTATATACATCATTAATAATAAAACATACTGCACCTGGGGTGTTAATTGATATTGTTCCTGTTCAGTTTACCACGGGAAAAATGTTTTGGTATACTGTACGTAGACAGTGTAATGCTATATAATGTATTTTAAATATACCGGGTACTTTAAAATAGGTAAATTATTAGAAACATTATACTTTACAAACAAGCAAATTAATCCGTTCTTAATATATGTAGGTAGAATGCAATTATACTCTGCTGTAGTGCTGCATGCAATACAAAACCTGCTGTAATACTGTAGTGTATAAGTCGCATTATGGTGCTGCGTGAAGCTTTTACTGTACGTGTGCCCTCGTCTAACTGCTTATACTGTACTGTACTTTGATTGTTTGTCCTTTTTTCTTCTGAACCATTACCACAGGATCTTTTCTCCTAGGCTTATTTACTTTATTCAGTCTATTTTGGCATTTCTTCCATGTTAACCTTTTGTTTTTTCTGCCTGATTACACACAATGTTAGGCAGGTTTTTAACTCATAATGAAGTAACCAAATATAAATGGATACAAATCAGAGTACCAATAGGGCTTTGAGTACCAAAGATTGAAAGTACCACAAACAAGGTGGATAATGACTGGATAACCCAAATGTTTGTGTTGGGTTCTGATAACATGTAAATATATAACACAGTATTTTCTCAATCATTATTTTATGCTTGACCACCCTGCCTTTGGTCTTCCACAATTTATCCTATTCCCTACTTCTCTGGAGATTACTGTATTGTAGTCCTAAATCCTAATTAGTAGTTGAAGTTCCAATTCATTTACAGTTTTCTCATAAGATGGTTAAATAAATTAGATATCAAACAGGAGATTTCAATGGGGACAGAAAGCTGCCAACACTATTTTTTGCCTGCTGCTTAATTCTTGTATATCTTTACAGCTTTTGAGGTGTTGCAATAGTTACTACAGAAGCTGAGATTAAGTTCAGATTATGAGGTTGTGGGTGGGAATTTTATACATTGCGTACAACCTCTACAATTGCTACAAAATACCACTACCCCTTTGTGTTCATTAGCCACTTCATTGCCTCGGCCTGGCCTACACTCCTTACACTCCCAGAACTCTGCATACCTACCGTATTAATTACACCACCCTGTTCATACCCTAACATACATCATCGAGGTATCGAGGTCCACTGTGTGCCTTTGGTTGCCTTGTGCAATCAAAATGTATCCAGTTACTTTAAAATTTTGTTTCAGGTTATGCTGCTGTCTCTGGCTGCTGGGGGAGTTGGGCTAAATTTAGTTGGTGCCAACCACCTGTTTTTGTTAGATCTGCACTGGAACCCCCAACTGGAATCTCAAGCCTGTGACCGTATTTACAGAGTTGGTCAGAAGAAGTCTGTCATTATACATAGGTAAGTGACGTTAGTTAATGAGTTCATAAAAACTGAGAAGCTGGATGTTGGTCAGATGTATAGCTGAACAATTGGCTTGCTACCTTGGTATGTTCATTACAATATTAGACAATATTCACTATTCTTACATAGTCATAATAATATATGAGAGGGCAGCGTAGGGATATGATCACTATACAATCTACTGATAAGGAACAAATAAGATGGACCAGATCAGTCTCTAAAATGAGAGAAAATAGGACAAGAGGACATACGGGTGATTGTAAAAGTTAAAGAAATTAAAGAAAATATTTGTACTCTACGAATGATCAAGTGGAATGCATTGAAGTTATTGTGGAAGCCACCACCCTCCAAAATTTTGGGAGCAGATACAATAAAAACTTCAAAAGTCAAGAAACGAAAATGTACAAAGTACAAAATGACAGTGGGCAATAAAGTGCTAGAAATTACTTGCAGGGGGCAAATGGTACTCTTGTGGCAGACCCGTTGCAGATCGCTACCGAACTGGGTTCCCACTTTTCTTCTGTTAGCTCTGGTTTTCGTCTTCCTCAATTTTTCCTTCTTCGTAAACCTGTCCTTGAGTCTCGTCCTTTAGATTTCTGCACTCGTCTTCGACTTCCTTATAACGATCCTTTCTCTCTGAACTTTGGTCTGCCCTGGCCCTCTGTGGTTCTACGGCGGCAGGCTCCAATGGCATTCATTATGAGATGCTTCGCTATCTACCTCCGTGCACGTCTCAGTATTTACCGAGTCTGTATAATCTGGGAGTCGTCGCCAGTCCCTGAGGACTGGCTCGATGCCGTTGTCCTCCCTGTTCGCAAACCAGGGTCTCTGGGAACATCTCCTAAGGACTTTCACCCTATTGCCCTCACAAGTTGTCTGCAAACTCTTTGAACGTATGGTTAACGTTCGTCTGATGTGGTTCTTAGAATGGTATGAGGTATGTATTTTGCATACTCTTATAACCAGTTGAAAAGGAGATAGAGCAACTCTTGACTCCGCAATACAGTTGTTCTCCCCCCCCCCCCCCCAAGTTCCGAACCTGCGAGTTACATACCATGGACAGTATATATGAGCATTTTGGTAACATATTTAAAACAGGAACAACTTAAAAATCAAGAAACTGCTTGTTCTCAACCATTGCAGACTTTTTAATTGTTCAGGTAATACAGCAATCATAATGATTATAGATCATTTGATATGACAGTACAAGTTACTGGGGATTCCTTTCTTAGTTGTTAGCAGTAGAATCCTCTCTAGATACCAAGTAACTGTATTACTGGGTAATAGTGTGAGAGTTTGGAATAAATGTTACCAACACTAACAGTGTTGCAGTAAGGAAAAATACTGCAAGTTTACTGTGATATGACAGTGACAAATTTTTCTTTCTATTACAGATTTGTAATTGAAAACACCATTGAGGAAAAAATAATCCAGCTTCAACAAGATAAGCTGCAACTTGCTGATGATGTTTTGTCAGGTGCTGACGAGAAGAAAAACATATCATTGAATGACATGAAGAAATTGTTCAATTTAGCTTAAACAATTCTTGTAAAGTTATTAAAATAAAAAAAAAATTGGTATAAAAGTGTAGGCGAGAGGTGGTGGTGGGAGCGTGTAGAGCGGGACTCGTGTCCTGAAGAACAAAGCAGCTTGGGCCGAGACATATGTCATCTTTCTGCTCTGTTCACTATTGAGTTAACATATATTGTATATTTCAAGTGCCTTCAAATATCTTTTTTATCAACATTTTATAAAATTATCTGCTTTTTTTATATTTTACAGAATGGTTTTAGTAAATAGTTGAACTGTACATACATATTAAAATGCATATTATCTATCATTTTCTGTGATACAGTGTGCTCTCAATCATTAGGTACAATAAAGTTTTATACAGTTTTAATATACAGTACTGTACCTGTATTTTATATTTCATGTCTTCATATATTTTTATTTTGTGACAGACTTGTTTATTTTAAATTTAATAAAATTTAATTAGATAAGGTTCTTTTTATCAGTGGTTTTGGTTAATAACTGGACTGTTCATAATAAAATCTAAAACACTATTGTTTCTTTGATACTGTGCTGTATCATTAGGTACACAAATGTTGTCATATAGTATGCTGTCATAAAGTTCATTGGCATCCTTATTCAACATACAAAATTGATGAAATTTTACAAGGGCGCATAGCTATTGTATGTGCCGCATAAATTTGGATGAGCTTTTTAATACAATAAAAAAGTTCTTATACGGAACATTGTGTAATCGTGGCATCAAGTGGAAATATTCTTCGCCCATCGCATGTACAGTACAACGAGAATTTTGTCTTAACATATGAAATAATCAAGTCTAGTGCACACACTGATTTTCTTGTATATACAAAACCAGTTATTTTTTTGTTAGGCTACAAGAAACCAGAATCAAACTGTTAATGAAATATCTGGAAAAATAAAAATTTTAGTACAACAACTTTGTCATTTATAAATTAACCTTATTATTTCTTTATTCAATATACAATAAACAAAGCATATTATGAGGCAAGTATCTAAGATAAAACAATGGTAATATTTCCTAAAATCATATTGCATCTCTCAAACTGCACTAGATGTTGCATTCCTAAATCTAGCAATATATAACATTAGAATCCTTTCATTTCTTTCCTTGCAAACTTAGCCTAAATGACTACAGTATTATGAACAAGAGAAGATTTGGCAACGGTGACTGGTCGATTGGGCACTGTGGGGGACAATGGAATCATTACAGTCTATTGAGAATTGGTGTTTTTGAAGCAGTCTTATCATTTGAGAACCGGAATCCTAGTCCCTTCACAGTTCATAAGCAAACATGGAAAAATGAGCTTTTATTGAAAAATTGAGTATCAAGTGCCATTATGATT